TAAAAATACAAAAAATTAGCTGGGTGTGGTGGTGTAGTCCCAGCTGCTTGGGAGGCTCAGGCAAAAGGATTGCTTGAACCCAGGAGGCAGAGGTTGCAGTGAGCCAAGATCTTGACACTGTATTTCAGTATGGGTGACAGAGCAAGACTCCATTTCAAAAAAAATTTTTTTTTATGTTTTTTTTTTCTCATGAGTACCTCATGGTTTATATTTTCATCTTTTCATTTTTATTATTTTTATTTATTTAGAGATGGAGTCTTGCTCAATCCCCTAAGTAGCTGGTATTGATTACAGGTGCCCGAGACCATGCCTGGCTAATTTTTGTAGTTTTTGTGGAGACGGGGTTTTGGCGTGCTAGCCAGGCTGGGCTTACTCCTTACCTCCAGTGATGCGCCTGCATCGGCCTCCCAAAGTGCTGGGATTCCAGGTCTGAGCCACTGTACTCAGCCTGTTTTCATTTTTTTGAGATGGAGTGTCACTCTGTCGCCCAGGCTGAAGTACAGTGACATGATCTCGGCTCACTGCCATCTCCACCTCCTGGGTTCAAGCGATTCTCCTGCCTCCGCTTCCTGAATAGCTGAGGTTACAGGTGTCCACTACCACGCCCGTCCAATTTTTGTATTTTTAGTAGAGATGGGGTTTTACCATGTTTGTCAGGCTGATCTCAAACTCCTGACCTCAAGTGATCCTCCTGGCTTGGCTTCCCAAAGTGCTGGGATTATAGGCATGAGCCACTGCACCCAGCCTGTTTTCATTTTTTTTAAATACCTTTTTTTTTTTTTTTGAGACAGGGTCTCTCTATGTTGCCTAGGCTGGAGTGTGGTGGTGTGATGTCTGCTTACTGCAACCTCTTCCTTCTGGGTTCAAGTGATTCTCGTGTCTCAGCCTTCCAAATAGCTGGGATTACAAGTGCCTGCCACCACGCCCAGCTAGTTTTTGTATTTTTAATAAAGATGGGGTTTCGCCATGTTGGCCAGGCTGGTGTCGAACTCCTGGTCTTATGCGATCCACCCACCTTGGCTACCCAAAGTGCTGGGATTACAGGTGTGAGCCGCCGTACCCAGCCTAAAATTACCAGCTGGGTACAGTGGCTCACACCTGTAATCCCAGCACTTTGGAGGCCAAGCCAGGAGGATCACTTGAGCCTAGGGGTTGGAGACCAGCCTGGGCAACATGAGGAGACCCCATCTCTACAAAGAAAATTTAAAATTAGCAGGGTGTGGTGGTGTGTGCCTGTAGCCCCAGCTACTTGGGAGGAGCCTAAGAGATCAAGGCTGCAGTGAGCTGAGGCTGCACCGCTGTATTGCAGCCTGGGCAACAGAGTGAGACCCTGTCCAAACAGAAACATCCCTGCTTTGGGCCTTCCTCAGTCGCCTCTCCCCAGCCACATGGCAGCTTGCTGGTGTGCAGGCCCCAGCTGTGGGCATGGCTGCGGATGTTGTACATGGCCTGGGTAAGGCGCTGTCTCTTCTGGGTGGGATCTGAGGACTGGGGCCTCTGCTAGGTGCGGGGGTGTGTTTGCTGAGGCTGCGCCCCGTGCTTCGATGTGAGATTTGGGCATGGAGTTTGGCATGTCCAGGGCTGTCACACCTGCATCCAGCATGAGCAGCTGTCCACGCCAGTCGCAGGGGTATCCCCACAGAGCCCAAGCCCGCGCCCGAGTCCTGGCCCAGCTCTCGCCCTGGCACAGCGTCTCCTGCCGTGTGGGACCTGGGCCTTTGATGGCATCCACGTGTCCACGTGTTCTGCTGCCTGCCTCTGAGGGTGGCCAAGGCGCTGAGTAACTTGGGAAGCTTGGCCGTGTCTGGCTGGCGCAGTAATTCATTGAAGCTCAGAGCCTCCAGGGAAATGCTCCACACTCCCTCTCACTGGAGCCCTGGCGGGGCAGGCCAGGCCGAGACAGGAGGGAGGGAGGCAGGCCAGGAGGGAAAAACACAAACCCTTAGAGACGCTGGAAACTCTGAGGTCGGGGCCACCTCCAAATGGGCTCACATTTTCCCTCTGTGTGTCATCACATCCTGGAAAATTACTGTCAAGAAAAGGAGCCCTCTGGGCAGTGTTCTGGCCGGAATGCCCCGGGCGCCCGCACCCCCCAGGCCCCAGCCCCCAGCCCCTTTCCCCTCCCTTTGGCTGTGTGCCTACAGAGCTCCCTGGCCTCCCAACAGCAGCCCTGTCCTCGGTCCTGCTGTGGGCTTTCTCTGGGTCGGGGCCTCTGGACAAATGGTCCACATCCTTACATCCATGCGGTCCTCCTGGAGGCCATGACCTGGGGGTCTGCTGGGGCCTGGGTTTGCAGGAGATGACGAGAAGAGACTTCACCTGCAGGAAACGGGTCTTTTGCAGCTGCCTGGCCACCCTCAGAGCCTGAAATGCCAGCACCCCTTCCCCTCGCCGTGCCGGCTGGACCCTCAATGCTCCATGCCTCAGTTTCCTTAGCAGCCATAGTCGCTACCACCCTGTGGCATATTTTGAGCCTCCGGGGAGCTCAGCACACACAGCCCTATGAGAGCCCCTGCACTGGCACTGCCCCCCACGCCAATCCTTGTCCTCTGGCAACTCTGGCTCTGCCTAGCAAGAGGGTCAGGGTCAGGAAGACGGTGTTGTGGGGACTTCAGCAGCTGGGCCCAGATGGTGAGGCAGAAACCAGGTTCCCCCTTCCCGGCCCCTCTTTGTGGGATGGAAGGACTCTTGGGGAAGGCTTGCAGCTGAGCTGATGGATGTTTGAAGAGACTGCAGGAGGGCTGGACGGGACGGGATAGGGAGGGTGTTCCCAGGGCTGTCATGCCATCCCCAGGTGTCCAGAGTGCGGGGTACGTTCCCCTTCCAAGTCAGGTGGGAGCCCAGAGCCTGCCCCAGGCTGCCCACCACTCGAGACGGCTCTTGGCTATTCTGTGAGGGAGGACGGGGCAAGTGTGGACCTCCTGGCATCTCCCTCTGCCATTTGGCTGCCTAGTGACATTTCCCAGCAGCTTTGCTACAGACGCCATCTCTTTTCAGGGGAGACGCAGGTGGCCTGGCCTCTCTGGCAGCCCCTTATCCTGCCTGACCCCTGGCTCCAGCAAGGTGGCCCTGGATCAGGGCTTCTATGCCCGAGTGAAGAGTGGGCGTGCAAGGTTTCTGCAGAGGCTGCTTTTTCTGCCACCCTGGTCCTGTGTGGGACCCTGGGCTCTGATGGAGGCTTCCTGGGCAGGGCCAGGCCCTTGGCATGATGGGTAGGAATCTAGGGTGGATCCAAAGGAATTAGAGATTTTGTCAGTTTTGTTTTCCAGATGAAATTCTATAGTCCCGATGGCGGCATGAAGCTGATGGCCCTGTCCTCTCTGGCCCACATCCGGGAGGCACCAGTGTGGGCTGTGGGCCGGGGGATCCTTAGCACTGTACAGCGTGCAGACGTGTACCCCCAGGCTGTGCCTAGGACATGGCTGTCTGAGCATGTCGTGTCCTGGAGGCAGGGGCCCCTTCTGGTCAGGCTCAGGCGCAGTGTGATGCCATCAAGGGTGCTCTGCCCGCTCGGGGAGATGCAGTGTGGATTCCGGGAGGGGGGCTCCTCCAGGGAGGCTCTGGACCAGGCCGCAGAGGGTGCTAACCTGCCACAGGCTGGCCTGGCCACTCATGAACATGGCGGCTCCTGGCCCAGGGTGCACCATGTCCCACCCTCCTCTCCCCTGGGAGCCCGGCATGCTCCCGGCCTCTGGAATGCAGGCACTGGGGCTGTGGGGGGCAGCCTGGCGCCTGGCATCTTGTTATAAAAAGCTCTGGCGCAGGCTGCTCTCAGCGGCTGCAGGATGGTTGTGGCTTTGGAAGGGCAGCCTCCAGGGGCCTTGGTCAGCCACCTGTGGGCCCCACTGCCAGGCTGTGGTCAGCCTGCGCTGGCTGCCCTGCCATGATGCTGCCGAGGCCAGTGGGGCTCCTGCCAGACCCCATGACATGTCATGACAGAGCCCCGTGCTGGGTGGCTGCAGGGCTGTCGCCATGGGCACACAAGGCCTTAGGTGTGTCCAGGGGCAGTCCTGGAGACACTGGGGACAGGTGTCCCTCTGGCAGTCACACCCTGGCAGTCTCCCAGTGTGGGCATGTTGAGGGCACCAGAATGCCTTGCAGGGTAGGAGGCAGTGGCCTGTGGCCACGTGGGAGACTGCAGGAGGGCTGGACAGGACCGGGAGGGTGTTCCCAGGGCTGTGATGCCATCCCCAGGTGTCCAGAGCTCGAGGAGGTAGGTTCCCCTTCCAAGTCAGGTGGGAACCCAGAGCCCTCCCCAGGCCACACCCACTAGAGACGGCTCTCGGCTGTTCTGTGAAGGAGGATGGGGCAAGGGTGGACAACTCTCGCTGTTCTGTGAGGGAGGACGGGGTGAGTGTGGGCGACTCTCACTGTTTTGTGAGGGAGGACAGGCCCAGTGCGGAGATGTCCCACCTGCACCACCACTGGACTGAATGGGCTGAAATCACTGTCCAGGCCTCTAGCTGCGTGGCCCGGCTTTGTCCATTTCATGGCTGTTGATTGGGGTGACGCTGTCCCTTCCACATCCCAGGGTGGGCAGAGGGAGGGCCCAGCTTGTTCTCTGAGGGCAGGCGTGGATGGAGTCAGCCTGGCCATGGAGCTGTGGCCAGGAGGGCAGTGGGGGCAGCGGGGGCAGCTGGCCTGGGGTTTTTGCCGATGCTCTAATTAGGTGGCTGTGGCCACCCCCCCCTCCCCCCCGCCATGGAGACCCTGACTTGGCCTGAGCCAGACTCCAGGGGCCATGCGTCCTCAGGGATTAGGTCTCAGCGTCAGGGCTGCTGCACTGGCTTGAGGGGGAGGGCCTTCAGCCCTGAACAGGCCCTGAGTGGGTTGGGGGCCCCTAGCTGCTGTGCCTAGCCCTGGCCCTGTGCTGGTCAGGCCCAGGGAGGGAGTGGGCCCAGCTCCCACATCTGTGCGACTGCCTCAGCCGGGGACACCAACAGCCCAGGGCATGGAGGCCCTGCCCGTTATACCTGCCGTCAGCCTCCCTCTGCCTGCAGCCTGTGGACCGGGAGCCGGTGGTGTGCCACCCCGACCTGGAGGAGCGGCTGCAGGCCTGGTCGGCAGAGCTGCCTGACGAGTTCTTCGAGCTGACGGTGGACGATCTGAGAAGACGCTTGGCCCAGCTCAAGAGTGAGCGGTGGGTCCCCCTCGGCACTTCCCAGCTTCTTTGCCCCAGGGTTTGCCCTGTCGGGGGTCCATGCCTCCACTGTCCTCGGGCACCAGGTCCCTGACAGGCTGCCCTTAACAGCACCTCAGAGGGTTGGGGGGCAAAGGGGGTGTCCGCTCTTGGTGTCTCGTGGGGAGAGCAGCCTACTCCTGCCCTGGCAGGTGCAGGTGACAAGCCCAGGCCTGTTGCCGGTGCCCCATGCTGACCAGGAGCCCTGTTCCTTCCCCGCTCTTCCCACAGGAAGCGCCTGGAAGAAGCACCCTTGATGACTAAGGCCTTCAGGGAGGCGCAGATGAAGGAGAAGCTGGAGCGCTACCCAAAGGTCTGCAGACAGGGCTTTGGGGTACAACTGAGGCACAGTTCTGAGGGGGCTCCTGTGGCTCCCACATGGGACCAGGGCCCTCAGTGATGGCACGAGTGCCCGTGGTAGCCAGTTGATCTTCCCCTGCTTACGATTTAGAATAAAACTTTTTTATTTGTTTATTTTGAGATGGAGTCTCACTGTCACCCAGGCTGGAGCGCAGTGGCGAGATCTTGGCTCCTGCAACCTCTGCCTCCCAGGTTTAAGTGATTCTGCTGTCTCAGCCTCTCAAGTAGCTGGGACTACAGGTGCCCACACCTGGCTAATTTTTGTATTTTTAGTAGAGCTGGGATTTCACTGTGTTGATCAGGCTGGTCTTGAACTCCTGATCTCAGGTGATCTCCCCATCTTGGACTCCCAAAGTGCTGGGATTATAGGCATGAGCCACTGTGCCCGGCCAGATGAAACTTTAAACAGCAAATCTGAACACAGGTCAATGTGGTTTTAGGATTTGGGCCGATGTACGCACACGTGGCATTCCGCTGTCTCTGTGCCCAGCCTGCCGAGGGGGAGTCGAGGCTCGGGCCCTGATTTGGGGGGACTGCCGCTGCTTCTGCCTCCCCCAGCCCTGGTATCCGTGGGCCAAGTGGGGAAGCCATGCCCTGGTCCCTGGGTTGGCTTCGGCTGTTCTTCTAACCCCTCCACTTGTCTGGCCTAGGTGGCTCTGAGGGTCCTGTTCCCTGACCGCTACATCCTGCAGGGCTTCTTTCGCCCCAGCGAGACAGGTGGGCAGCACTTCGGGGTGTCCGGAAATGGGGTTGGGGGCCCATGGGGCCCCTCCTGGCTCCTTCCTTCCGTGCCACACACAGGATTGCTGCCGCCTGGCCTGTAGGCTCCAGGGCACCGGGTGGTGTGGGTTGCTGGGGTCCCCTTGGGGCTGCAGAGTGTCAGGCAGGTCCAGGTGCCTAGCCCCAGCTCAGGGAGCCTGTGGTCCTGAGTACTTACGTCCATCACCTACTAAACATGGGTGGGGCTGAGGGGCACCCAGAGGAAGGTACCATAACCCGGGAGGAGGGCAGAGGTGCTGTGACAGTCAGAGGTTCCTCACTGACCTGTACCCCAGACAGCTGGGTGGCAGCAGCCCAGGGTCACGGGACTCCCCCAGGGAAGCACTCAAGCTGGGGTGGTGGCTGGGGTGGGGCTGGCAGCACAGGCTGGCAGTGGGAGTGCCCTCCTGCAGCAGGGCAGGGTCCCAGGTGTGTCCCGCCAAGCACCTGGGGTGCCGTGGAAGGAACAGGGCTGAATTCCCACCCCAGGGGAAAGGCCCTGAGGGTCAGAGCAGTGGCCCAGGTGCTGGGGCAACCTGGGGCTGGCATCGTGGAAGAGCTCTGTGTGTTTCTTTCTCCTCTGCAGTAGGGGACTTGCGAGACTTCGTGAGGAGCCACTTGGGGCACCCTGAGCTGCCATTTTACCTGTGTAAGTTGTTTCTCCTGAGCCCGCTCTTGGCATCTGTGGCCTTGCGCCCAGCTGCCTCCTGCCAGCCATGGTGTCTGTGTGGGGACCTGGGAGGGGTGCAGCAGGGCCCTTCTTCCCAAGCCGGGCAGTGGGAACCAAGCTTCCCACGTTCTGTCCTGGTGCCCTGCTGCCCTCTGGAGCCCTCTTGCACCCCTGGGGCTCAGGCCACTCCTGCTCGAGAGCTATGGGAAGGACGGGTGGATGGGAAGTGGCTGGTCTCCTTTGGAGGACCTCTGGGTGTAAAGAGTTAGGCTGCCCACCCCGAGGGGAGCTGGGCTGCAGAGCTGTGTGGGTGGTGTCCCCTGGAGGTTGGCCTGCACTGCCCAGCGCCTCCAAGCCCCCCACTGGGGTTTCTGCAGCAGGAGTAGTGTGGGCAAAGGGCGTGAGCCTGAGGGGGAGGCATCACCCCATCTTCAGGCCTGTTGGCCGGGACTCCATCCTTTCTGATACATAGGCACCTTCTGTCCTCAGTCATCACCCCTCCAAAAACAGTCCTGGACAACTACTCGTGCACCCTCTTTCAGGTACCTGAAGGCCCTCCTGGGGTGCTGTGGGGTGGGGCCTCCGGGGAGGAAAGGATGGGAGGGTGAGGCCTGCGGGTGCTGCGGGGCAGGGCCTCTGGGGAGGGCAGGACAGGAGGATGAGGCCCCGAGGTCAGGAAGGAGGGCCCTGGCAGCTGCTGCCCAGTGATAATAAGCCTTTGAGAGCCAGAGGGGGGTGCTCGCCGGCTTTCCAGCTCCTCTACTTCCTGCTAGCCCCAGCCTGCCTGAACTGAGGCTGCTTGGAGGTCTCAGCCCCCTGGGCTGCTCATGCTGGGGCCAAGGCAGGCCCAGCTCCTGCCCAGGGATCTGGGTGAGAAAGGGCCCAGCAGGCCTGGGAGCAGGGATGGGGAGCCCCAGAGGAACCCAGCCCTCAGCTGGAGGTGGCCGCCTGGGACTTCAGCGGCCAGGCCTGTTTTCCTGCCCCTTCCCCTGCCTGGCCTCTCCCTCTGGCCCCACTGGCCCCTACTAGGAATGCCTTGGTGCGCATTGCTCTCCGCTGCTTCTGTGGGTCCCTGCCGCCTCCCTGAGAGCTCCTGAGGGTGAGGCCAGGGTGAGGGGCCAGGTGCCCAGCCCTGCTGGGCCACCCTCCAGAGCCAGGAGCAATGAACATCCTGTCCTTGGCCTGGGGCCTCCCGGAGCCCTCTGGCATAATGGTTTCCTCTTCAAAGTCTCTGCAGATATTTTAATTAGCAGCAGAGGAGCGTTCTTTTTAAGTGGCCGCAGGCCTCAGCAGAGGTCTGGGGTGGAGGTGAAGGGCTTGCTTACTGCCTGCGGTTGCAGCCACTGGGCTGAGATGGGGCAAGAAGGCTGGCAGCTGCCAGGGGTGATCAGAAGCAAGCCTGAACGGGATTCCCTGCAGCAGAGGCAGGCGTAGGGAGGGGTGACAGTCCCCTCTCAGCCCGAGCTGCTGGCTGGACTTTGGGCCTCTTTCCTCTGCCTTTGCCCCTCCCTTGCTGGCCAGCCAGTTGATAAACATTGAATTTAGACGATTCCTTGGGATGGAGGGGAACCAGTGCCCAGGCCTGCAGCCCACCCTCCCATTGGGAGGCCCCCAAGGGCCCTGGGGTGCTGTTGCCCTGTTTCTGGAGACACCCTGACCTCCCCCACCAGCCTCTGCCTCCTGCTATCCGTCAGCTTAGCTCCAGCCTCGGGGCCTCTCAGGGTGGCGTCCCTGGTGACGTCCCTGCCTGCCCGCCATCAGAGAGCTGGCAGGGCTGAGGGAAGGAAGCTGCCTCCCTGGCGGGCAAGCAGACGGCGGGTGTGGAAGCGCCAGCTTTCATGTCTCTGGCAGGGCCCTGCTCCGGCTGCCAGTTCCCTGGGGAGTATCCAGGAGCCAGCCTCTGCTTCCAAGAGGGATGGCATTCGTGGGTGTGGGGCTGACAGCCCGCAGCCCTCGGTGGCCCTGGCCCAGGAGAGCTGAGAGGAGGCGGCCAGGAGTGAGGACGAGGAGTTGTGAGCAGTGTGGGGTGCTGCTTTGTGGGACAAAGTTCCCCAACCCCTGCCTGAAACTTGCTTCCTGGCCCTGAGCGTCAGAGTTCCCTCAGCCCTGGGGTCCATGCTCTGCCCTTCACCCTGGAGCTCCTTAACAGGCACTGAAGACACTGGTGCGCTCCAGGGATGCCCTCAGCACAGGCTTTGTCTGCTGGCCCTGTGGGGACTGAATTGGAGGCCTGGCCAGACGGCCAAGGCGCCTGGCTCCAGCCCCCATACACACAGCCTGCTTCTTCCACAGCAGGGGTCGGAGGGAGGGGGTGCAGGCCTGTGGGCGCCCAACCCCCGATGTCCTGGGAAGTCTTCCCTCTACTCATGGTGTGATTTGAGTGTCAGCACCACCCGTCTTGTGTGTTGCTGCACTGCTGCCTGCTGCCCTTCTGAGGCCTCAGTTGTCCCCAAGGCCAGGGCAGGGCATCTAGAAGCACCTGGCCAGTTGTCGTCCCGTCACTTTGCTGTGCTCGTCTAGGCTGGGGTCTGGAGTCTGGGCCAGAACTGAGCAGAGAGTAGAGATTTCTTCCCCGTGGCCATGGTGGTCTGTCCCTCTGTCCCTCATTCCACTGGGATCCCAGAGACACAGCCAGCAGGCAGGGGACTTCTGGTGGGCAGCCAGTGGGGCAGGGAGGCCTGGTTCCAGAGGAGCTCCCCCAGGGGTCCTTTCCCAAGGCCTCAACCCGGCAGCTCCAGCCTGGGCCCTGGCACGTCCTGTCTCCTTGTCCAGAGCAAAACGAGACAAGGGGTGGGGGCCCACAGGCACGAGCTTGCCCTGGGGACTGAGCCCTGCCCAGAGACCTTCCTGTGCATGTCCACCTGGCCTGGATCAGATGAGACTCACCTCCAGTGCCAATGCCGGCCATGATGGGCTGAGTGGACCTGGCGGTGAGTTCCTTGGTCAGGACCTCCTTCCAGACTTGGCCATCCCCCTCCCGAGGGGGGTCTGGCTGTGGCCACCCTGTGTCTGGAGCAGGGGAAGCAACTCTGGGTTGCAGGAAGCCTGGGGCCAGCCCTTCTTTGTGGTCCTGGGGATAGAGAGGCTGGACCTTTCTCTCTGAGGTGGGAGTGGGGAGGGGAGCCACAGGGGACCTGTGGGTGTGAGAGGAGATTCTCAGACTTCCTTCACGGGTGATTCCCGCTGCCTTCTCCGCCCCATCTGTGGTCCCCATTCCACTGTCCTCACCCCACTGGGACCCTCCTGGGGACTGGATGTACTGGGGAACCCTGAGTCCACTGGGGTGGCTGTGACGAAGGCCCACTATCCCGGAGGCCTGGGGTCCAAGCTCAGGGGATGGCTAGGCTGGCCCCTGTCAGGCTTCTGTTGTGGCTGGCAGAAGTTACCTCTGTCATCGCATGGTCACCTCTGTGAGCATTTTGTGTCCTCATCTCATGAGAATTCACACTGGAACAGACCCACCTTGGATGTCATCCACTCTGGGTGGCTGCCCTGTCTCTCCCTGCCTGGGTACCGTGGTGCCACCCCATGCCTGGGTATCTTGGGCCATAAGGCTTTTCTCTTGGCTGCTTTTCCCCGGAGGGTGGTGCCATTCTTGCCCGTGGGGACGACCGGGGCACCGGGCCACGTGCATGCTGCTCCTGCAGAGTCGCTGCCCACGAGGGTTGGCCTGGACCTCCTTTCAGAAGCTCTTCCTGGCAACACTGAGTGTGGCAAGGGGCTGGCAGCAGAGGGGGCAGGATTTGGGGCCCCAGTGTGCTGGGCAGCAGCTAGGGAGGGGCTGGCTCCAGGGTGGCTGTGCTGGCTCCTCTCAGGCTTCCGTTGTGGCTGGCAGACTGGCGTCCTTGCGGTGTCACTTCTGTGTGTGGTCTGTGTCCTCATTTCTTGAGGAATCACACTGGACTAGACCTGCCTTTGATGTCATCTCACATCACTTATCTTTTCAAAGATAAGTGAGATATCTTCAAAGATAAGTGCATGGTCCCAGGCCCTCAGGTTGTGTCAGGGCAGGGTGGGCGTTCCTCTTTTCCCTGTCAGCCCAGGGAGCCAGGACAGTGCTGGTAGGGACAGGCCCCTCAGCCTGCGCCTCCCTCAGGCCCTTTCTGGGCCCTGCTCTGAGTGGTGGGTGGGGGGCGGGGGTGTCCATTGTGACTCACATTTCGTGTCTAGACCCAGCTCCATCCACCCTGGTCCCTTGCTGAAGTGGCCCCTGGAAACCAGGGCAGAGAGCACCGTTTCTCACAGTGCAAGATGGAGGTGATATGAGACTTTGGGAGGCTCCTTTTTTGGGGTCCATCCAGAGGCCAAGCCTCTCCCAGCACTGCAGCGTCCATGCCACCCAGTCTGCTGACCCTCCTCGCCACTGACTGCCAAGACTACTTCCCTCCTCGTGATCCTGAGCCCCAGCTGCCCCTTTCTGTACATCCTGTGGGGCAGTGCTGGGAGGGTCATGGCCTGTGGGGGCAGTGATGAAAACCAGGTGCCTCAGTATCAGTGGCTTCTGAGGGATTCTTCTTGCCTGGCGGCAGGTGGGACACAGATGGGGCTGGCTAGGCCTCTGGTGCCCACAGCAGCCTCCAGGCAGTGTCCCTGGGCTTCTGTGGGCGGCTGCAGCCTGGGTGTGAATCCCAGAGGCCCTATGGCGCTCTTATCTGTGAGGCTGAGACCACAGTGGCTCCTGGCGCTGTCCTCCTGGTGCCCTCTTCCTGGCTCCCCAGCTTCCGATGCCTTTCCAGGGCCACTGGGGCAGCCCCTGCCCACCCCGCAGGCCCTGTTCTCCTCACAAGGCTTTGATCCCAGGCGGCACAATTGGGTTTTCAAAGCATTCACGGCCCTTGTTTGTGTCCCCGGCTGGAGGCTGAGGTTTCAGCGTTCCTGGGCCTGGCCTTTGAAGCTTCCTCTTATTAATCTTTTAACATCCCTCAGCCCCACCCCAGACTGTGGCCCCGAGCAGCCTGGAGCCGGGAGGGGGATGCCTTCAGCCTGGCAGCTGCAGCGCTCCACAGTGGTCCCGAGGCATCCGTCAGGCCCTGCCCCACCCCGCCTTCCTGAGGTGCAGAGTCCAGAGCAAGGAGGACTGTGACACTGCATGACTCAGGGACCCTCAGGGCCCTAGCCTGCAGCTGGCTTGGGGCTTGGGGTGGTCCCATGGAGGGCGCTGGTGGTCCTAGGATGCCCTGGGCTTGCTTACAGTGGTAGGGTTGGTGCCAGAGTCGGGACAGGAAGCTGGGCAATGAGGGGCTCATGGGACTGGGCAGGTGGAAACTGCCTGAGGGTGGAGCTGTGGCCATCAGCAGGGCCTGGGCTTGGAGGTGTGGCTGCCTCCGCAGCAGAAGGGGTGCTCTGCCCACGGTGCCCGCCCGGCTCCTGAGTCTCCTGCCCTCCCTGCAGGCGAACCTCTTCCCGGCTGCTCTGGTGCACTTTGGAGCCAAGGAACCAGCAGGTGAGTGTCAGTGGTTGGGGCATCAGAGCCTGGCCAGCCCGTCCGGGACCTCAAAGCTAGCTGCCCCAGAGGGCATTCAGTCTGGGGCCTCATTTGGATCTGGGAGGGAGGTCTGAGGCTTCCAATACCCACCTCTCAGAGGGAGGGCTGGGACAGCCACCTGCTGGCCACCCTGCTCCCAGAGCTGAGTGCTGGTGGCTGGTTGCTGGGCAGATAAGGGTGGGCCTCTCCGAGGCTGAGGGTGGGCTTGGGCCTCCCTGCAGGTGTCTACCTGGAGCCTGGCCTGCTGGAGCGCACCATCTCCCCATCCGCGGCCGACGTGCTGGTGGCCAGGTAAGTGCCAGTGGGTTTGGGGGCTCCTCCCTCAGCGACACCCACCACCCTGTGTCTTTGCCTCCCCCCAGGTACATGTCCAGAGCCACCAGGTCCCCTTCCCCATTGCCAGCCCCTAACCCTGCACCTGAGTCTGAGCCACCTGCTGAGGAGGGGGCGCTGGGCCCCACTGAGCCCATCTCAGAGATGGTTCCGCCTGTGAAGAGGAGCCTGCGCAAGGTGCCCAAGTGGCTGAAGCTGCCAGGTACTGTGGCCGGGTGGAGGGCAGGGGGCTTCGACCAGGTGGAGGACGTGTGGGGGCACAGGGTGCTGTGGTCTGCGGGGATGGGGGGGCCGCATGCTGAATTTGGTTGGGGGGCAGGGGGGCTGGGTGCTGCAGTGGGGGTTGGAGAGCTAGTGCTTCGGCCAGGCCAGTGAGCGGGTGGCTGGGCAGCGAGAGCCCAGGGCCTGTGGTCACCCTGGTGTGTTTGCACTACAGCCAACAAGAGGTGAGCTGCCAGCCTGAGGTGCCCACCAGCCACAGGACCACCTCCCCTGCCAGCAGGAATAAAGACTGTGCGTCCTTCAGTGCTTCCTGTCGTACTTTCTCCAGCAGGGGCCCCTGTCCACCCTGGCTTGGCCTGACTGGAGTGTCCAGGCCCAAGGGTCCTGGTGGACCATGGTGTGGGCCTCGGTGGCCACTCGCCGGGCCGAGGTGTGCATCCTGAACCCGAGTGGGTCTCCTAACAGTATTTACTCCTCCTCCCAGAGAAACAGAAGTGCTGGAAGAAGGGCTTTTTGGGCAGATTGCCTACAACCCAAGAACCAAGCCTGGGCCAGGAGCTGGGGGAGTTAGTAGGCCACCCCATCTTTAGGGCAGGGCCTGGCCTTGCAAGCCTAACAATTTCCACAGGCTTCCCAGGGCTTTCAGACAGACCTACTTGGGTGGGCAGGGTGGGGAAGGGGTGGATCCCAGCAGCAGCTCTGCCTGGCCAGGGCCAGTGGGGCTAAATCAAGGATGGAAAGGCTTACCCCAAAGTTGTCTTAGAGCACCAGGGGAGGAGAGGCTGGGCCGCCTCCAGTGATCCCCAAGGGGCAGCTCTTGTCTTTCCCACCCTGGAACCTGACTCCCTGTGTTCTAACCTTCCCTGCATGGGGCCCCAGGATGGCACTCAACTGAAAGCCCCTTGGGTGTTCACAGTCCTGGGCTCTAACTAGGGAGCTAAAGTGAGGTGGGCTAAGGCACCTGGCAGGGCACTGGAGGGGAAGTGGCCCAAGGCCCTGCTGCTTCCCAGGTGTTGGCACAGGTGGAGCTCATGCCAGACTTCTGACAATCAGAGGGCAGCTAGACCTGGACAGGGCATCCAGGCAGGTCCCACAGCCCTGTGTCTCCAAACATGGGCAGGAGGCATGGCCTGAGGGGGCTGTCCCATACCCCCCGGCACTGCGTGGGGCTGGTGTTGAAGAGAAGGGGAGGCCCTTCCTCCATTTCAGCAGGGCCTTGGGCCAAGGTCCCTCTCACCCTGTGCATCCTGGTCCTGCCTGCAGCCACAAGAATATTCATGGAAGCCACTGCCCACTGGTGGCAGGCCCTGGGGCTGCCCCAGCCTCTGGGGCTGGAGTAACATTTTCCAGGTAGGCGGCCACATATACAAGGTATGGGCTCCACAGCCCCATGCACACATGTTGTCAGCCAGCCTGTCCTGGTGCTTTGCTTTTGTCTTACCAGGGGTGGAAGGGTGCACACAGGGAGCGTGGCTTTGAAGCAGTCTGACTTCAGTGATTAATAGCAACAAGAAGGCCAAGCTGGGAGAGACAGTTTTGATTTATTGATGTTGCTTTGTCAGAACAAATTTATAGCCTGGGGAGCCATTTTCTGAGGGGAATAGCGGATGCCTGGGAAGGTCACATCAGCTTTGATGTTGGTAGCAGGAATGTGGCCAGGAGGCGGCGCTGCCAGCTGCTCTTTGTAAAACATGCAGTCTACCTGTTGGCTGGGCCTTTCCCAGCACCTGCCTGTAGGTGCCCCCATGGGCCTGTCTCCAGTGGGCACTCCAAGGGTGGCAATGCACTACAGTCCTGCCCCTTCTGCAAAGGTTGGAGAATCTCGGGATCTTGTTTGAATCAGCTCCAAACCCCTCAGGTCCTTCTCTGTCTGCAACCAGAAGCCACTAGAAACACAAGACCTGCTTCTGTGGACCAGGGACTTCCCTGGGGTGGCTTCAGCCACGGCTGAGGTCCCTAGAAGTCCAGGAGCTGTGGGGAAGAAGCGCTTAGGTGCGGCCTGCCAGCCAGGCACTCCCACCTGTGCACCGACCCGCATTCACGCACCAACTGCGGAAGCACCTTCTCCAGCTGGTCCACATCCACAAGAATGGCATCTTCTGCCTGGGCCTGCCGTACCGCACGGACGGCTGCTTCTGCAGTGAGAAACTCGAGAAGTGGGGGATGCTGGGAGATCTTAAACCCAGGCCCACTGGGCCTCAGCCTGAGCCAGTGCCCCCACCCACATCCACAGGCAACCCCCAGAACCAGGCTGTAGCACCTGACCAACAGGCCCAGGAGACCAAGTTCAGGCCCTTGTGGGAAACAGAAAAACGTGTCTTGGTTTTCCCGCTAGAAAAACAAAAGGAATCCTGGACACTGCACCTGGGAGGGGGCCTGGGCCCTGGGCTCACCCACAACGAAGATCTTCAGCAGCTCCGCCATGAGCTGCAGTGAGTCCCCGCTAACTGAAAGGCAGGGGGAAGACGTTATGTGGGACCCTTGCCCACTGCCCTGGCTGGGTGCTCCAGATGCAACCCACCCGCCCCAAGGCCTTGGCCCTGCAGAGTTGTGGGAAAGGTACAGGAGGACGGGAACCCCCGCTCCCACCTGCACCCCACCTGCACCTTTGGTCTTGTCATCCTTAAAGTGCGCGTGCAGCAGCCTGCTCACCAGCTCCTGGAGGGGAGGGGGATGTCAGTGCCAGGCCCTGCCCTCCCCCACACCCCCAGGGTGGTGATCATTCTGGGTGGCACCGGCTGTGATTTCCAGCTGGAGATGCCCTCTGTGCGTGGGCCTCTCCCAGGGCAAGGAACAAGGGCCGGCCCAGTGCTTAGGGTGGCAGAAGCTGGAAGAGCAGGGTCTGTCAGGGAGCTGCCCTGCAGAGCGAGTGGATGCAGACTGGTCGCAGGCCCAGCCTGCTGGAGCTCCAGGGGTAGCAAGGAGAGGCCTTGTCGAGTCTGGCATAATCTTGCACTCCCGTCCCCAGCCAAGGGCCATGGATCTGCTTTCCTTTTGAGGAGGCAGGGAAGGCAGAGCCGGCCTGGGTCTGGAGGCAGCTGCTCCCTGGGTGGGATGGCCTGAGGGAGTGCCACCAGTAAGGCCTTGCTTGGCCAACTGTTCAGTGTGCTAGGTCAGCTCCACCAGTCTTGCCCTGGTGCTTATCATCCTGCAGGAGGTGCTTGTGTCTGGAAGCATAGAGCTGGGCTGCACCAGCGAGGTCTACAGGTTAGAGTGGAGGGAAGGGTGGGCTAGATGCCGAGGGCCTGAGGCCTGATCAGCTCTCTCTCTGTGGTAGGAAACTGGGAGTCCTTTCTGTTTTTTTTTGTGGAAAGCAGCACTGTTGTTTGAAAGGACCCCTGTGGCCATCATGCCCAGGGGATGGGGGGCAGGGAGAAGGCTGCAGAGCTGGGGCCTTTGTCTTCCTGAAGCATGGAGGATGGGTACAGGGGAGGAGTCAAAAGGACAGCACTGTTCTGTGGAGCTGGGGGGCCGTGGGCATGTGTACTCAGGAGCTCAGTTTGGGATGTATTGTTACGAACCCAAGAGCTGTCCACAGGGAGTGGCAGGCGGCAGCTGCAGCAGTGGCTGAGACTTGGAGGGCAGCCCTGGGTGGCTGGTGGAGCCACGAGACTCAGTGAGGTGACCCAGGGCAGGCACCAGCCCACAAGGGCTGGGAAAGGAGCCAACATGGAGTGCCCAGGGTTGGGGGCAGGGGCAGTGGGCACCCAGGAGCCCAGAAACAGGCACTACAAGGGAAGGTGGGTGAAGGACCGGCCAGGCTGCCAGCAGCGGGAAGCAGGGAGCTCACAGCACCTCACCCAGAGCAGTCCAATAGGTGACAAGCAGAGCAGCGGATGGGTGAAACCCTGAGGCACGGGAGGTGAATGTGTCACAGCAGCGGACAGCAGGACCCAGCATCCCAGTTTGTCCTGAGCCCTCACTGTGCCCCAGCCAGGGTCCCGGTCACTGCCCGCATAAGCTCAGTGCCACCTGCTGGTCCTTCTGGCTGCCTACCACCAGCTCTACCTGTAAGGTACCAGAAAAGGCAGAGAAGGCACTACTTCCCCACCTGCTCTGAGACCCCCAACACTGCTGCCCCAGAAGGCCTGGGAAGGAAGACCACACCAGTGAGTGGCAGCTGCCTGGATAATCCAAGGGGTCGCTCCATACACGGGCAGTGGCTTTGGGAGTCAGGCCCAGCACTGGGGGTGGGGGCCTGGGACACACCCAGCCTTGCCCCCCAGACCTGTGGGTGCCACGCCAGGGCTGCAGGCCCCCTGCTCCCCATCGTCCTCAGGCTCTTCGTCTGTAATGACCACAACTCCAGCTCTGGCCAGAGGCCTCGGGGCCCTAGTTATCAGGTGGGCTTGACAGAGAGAACACATGACTTCCCCTGGGGTGTGCCCAGTGCCCTCTCTCCAGCTGTGGCCTTTTGGCTACTCTAACCTGGTGTATTCTCACAACCAAGCGGTGAGGTGGCCCAAGCCTCAGCGACTTTCTCTTTCTGAATTCTGTCTAGCAAGAATCTTCAGCAACTCCACCCCTAGAGTCCCTCCACTCCCCCCCAACCCTGTACTGAGCCCCTGGTGTCCTTGGGTGATAAAGAAGGGGCTAATAAAGAATTCCCCCTGCCCCTACAGGGTTGAAGTAGGACCCTGAGGATGGGTTCACAAGGGCCTGAGACCCTCCCCTTTCCAGGCCACAGAGGTCCACGAGGCCCTGATGACATTGAGGAAGCTCAGTGCCCCAACCTTCAGGTACAGTAATAGAACGAAGGGCTCAGAAACCACTCTGCCTGCACAGAGGGGGGTCCTCTGCACGTGACAGCCCCAGAGAGCCCCACTCACCAGGGGCAGGGAAGAGCAGGGCACGCCCTCCAGCCTTGGCGGATCATGGCTCAGACGGCCTGGGTCTGACCCTAGCCCTGCTGAATCACTTAACACACCCGTACCTCGGTTTCCCCACTGGCGGGCGGGGTTAATAGGTGTCCAGTGTGTGTAACGTGGAGCACCGAGGACACCACGCGTTCCGGGGACTTAGCCCAGTGCTGGCGCCCACCGGAGAGTGGGCAAAAGGGGAACTACTGTGCCTGGCGGCTGGGCCAGGTCTGCCGACTCGGGCCTCATTCTTGCCGTCCTGGGGTCTGACCTCCTCTTCACAGGAGAAACCAGGCTCAGGGCTCAGGACGGCGGCCCAGCTCTTCCTCTCTTTTTGCTGGCTTGGACTCCGCCTGGACGGCGCCTACCCCTGCCTATTTCTGCAAACCTTCTCCACCTTCCCGCAGCCCCGGCTGCCCCACGCACCCTTCTACCTGCTGCGAGACTCCCACCCAGGATAGCGCGGGGCGCGCTGGCGGGCCGGGGTAGGAGTCTGAGAACGGGGCCAACATCAAAGGCACAGGTGGGCGGCGCGGGGGCTGGCTTCGGGCCCTCACAGTGTCACACGTGGGATCGGGATGCAGGGTCCACGCCGCCCTAGCCCCTGCCCGCCGACCCTCACCTTCCGGAAACCAGCTCCTGCTCCGACTCCCTCCATGGCCGCCTCCTCGGCGCGCGCCCTAGGGAGCCCCGCTCCGCGCCCCCAGCCAATGAGACCCGAGCGCGCCCCCGGAGCCCCGCCCCTACCTTCAGCCAATGAGCCAGAAGCGCGCCCTCCCGCAGCCCCACCCTCACGCCCCTCAGCCCAGGAACCAGGAGCTCGCCCTACCGGGGTACCACCCTCACGTCCCTCGGCCAATTATCCTGGAGCATGCCCTCCCGGAGCCCCACCCTCATGACCCTAGCCAATGAAACTGGAGCGCGCTGCTCCCCTTCGGATTGCTAGCCCAAGAGCGCGCCAGTTCCTTTGTTCTAATTGGCCCCCAACTAGCGCCGCCAGCGCAGCGCCTGCTGGGAGTTGTAGTTCCCGCGGCCGCTCCCGGCGCGCCTGGTTCCTCCTGGATACTGAGGTCCCAAAGCGGCTGTCGCGAGACCGGGGCCGAGGCTGCAAGCGCTGCAGGGCCTGGAGGGGGCGCGCGACGAGCCTGCCTGCTTCCTGTACGGGTGGTCCCCACGCACCGCGGGGCCCCAGCCCAAAGTGGACCTTGACTACCGCCCAGCCCCGCGCTCCCAGGACCTCCCGCCCGCACAGCCCACTCTGATTGCTCTTCGTCCGGGTCAGCGGAGGCCCAGTCTCCTGTACCCGGCGCCGGGGCTGCTCCGCACCAGGCGGCTCCCTTTCAGCAGCTGCGGGAGCATGCGAAGGAGGTCCTGCCGACCCCGCAGGTCATGGAGGAGTTCCGGCGCTGCTACAGCCGCTTGTGCAGGGAGAGTGGGGCCGAGCCCCAGGAGGCTGTCCTGCAGCAGCTGCACCAGCTTCCCAGGGGCCGGCTGGACCTGGCCACGCAGAGCCTGACAGTGGACACCTGCAGGGCCCTAGGCAAGCTGCTGCCGAGGGAGACGCTGTGTACGGAGCTGGTCCTAAGCGACTGCATGCTCAATGAGGAAGGTGGGCAGGCCCGACAGGGTAGGTCGCTGCTCCTTAGCTGCCCACGCCGTTGCCTTGGCAGCCCCAGAGGCCGCTTCCTCTCCAGGCTCTCCTCTTTCTGTACCGTAGTTAAAGCGAGCAGGACTGGAGGGCAATTCCTCTTTATGACGGGGGAAGAGGCCTTAACCTGCCGCGACTTACCTGGTTCCCTGCGTGCTGACGCGGCTTTGTGCTGCAGGGGCTGCAGGTGTTTCAAACACAGCTTCGCAGCGAGACTCTTGGCCAGCGCCAACCCAGACCACCGGGACAGTTGTCCTTCCCTGGGTCTAGGGAGCTGCCCTCAAAAGGGGCCCACAGGGAAGGTCTTGGGGTCAGCAGGGGCAGAGAGTAATCGCGGCCTCCCTTACACAGGGGCCACACTGCTGCTCCGAGGCCTGTGTGCCAACACCGTGCTGCGCTTTCTGGACCTAAAGGTGAGATACCTGCACTCTGGGTGTCCAAGTGTGCCACCCGAGGGCAAGAGGAGAGTGGGAAGATGCCAGGTCTCGGGGGGCCTGGGGTCTGGACAAGTGGCTGGAAACTGTAAGTGTCCCAGGCCATTCTCCAAAGGCCTCCTATTTGAGTGACTGTCTCTGGAGCAAGAGTTCACATCAGCTACAAGCAAGCCAGCCCCAGGAAGCTCTTGAAGGAAGGGAGGCCACACGTCTGCCCAGGGGGCACCCCAGCCTTGTCCACTGGCTGACCAGGGCCCTTGGGGCATGAGCGGGAATTCAGAACCAGTCAGGGTGAGGGGAGCGACTACCAGCCTGTTTCTGTCCTAGGGCAACAACCTTCGAGCCACCGGGGCTGAGGCTCTGGGAAAACTCCTCCAACAGAACAAATCCATTCAGAGGTGGGTGGTGGTCCTGACCCCACCATCACCCCAGGTCCCCTCTCTATGTGGTTGAGGATTGGCCCTAGAGCACATGGTTCTGCTGCCCAAGAGTTCACAATTGCCAGTTGTCTGCTGTGTTTCACAAACAGCAGTGAGCAGGCAGAGGCTCCAGCCCATCAGACCCCAAGCCAACACCATCCCCAGGCCCTGGACCCCATGGGCTAGGCAGTCCCCTGGGTTAACACTGGCTCCTGTCCTTCCTGCAGCCTTACACTGGAGTGGAACAACTTGGGCACGTGGGATGATGCTTTTGCTACCTTCTGTGGGGGCTTGGCAGCCAATGGCACGCTGCAGAAGCTGGACCTCCGCAACAACCAGATCAGTCACAAGGGCGCCGAGGAGCTGGCCCTGGCCCTGAAGGGCAATGCCACCCTCCAGCAGCTGGGTGAGGCCTCCAGGGTGCCTCGGGCTCCCTCGTCCCTCCAAGACTGCCTGTGCTCTTGGAAGTGAGGGGCTAGGGGACCAGCCAGGCCAGCTCCCCCTCCACCAGGTGCATTCCATCTGGTGACTACAGGTTTCTTTCCAGACCTGCGCTGGAATAACATTGGCCTCCTGGGGGGCCGGGCTCTCATGAACTGTCTCCCCAACAACAGAACCCTGTGGAGGCTAGACCTGGCTGGGAACAACATCCCCGGAGATGTCCTCAGAGCTGTGGGTACGCTGCAGGGCTGTGTGGAACGACACACGAGCCTCTGAGAAAGGCGTGTCCACTGAGGGCGGGGTGCTGGGCCTGGGACCAGAACTGATGATGAGAGCAGCCTGAGAGCCTGCAGAAGCGGAAGGAGCAGAGGGTCTCGGTGCACTTGATCGGCACTCACCACACATGGGCACTGTCCAAGACTCCCTGTGTGCTCCATGAGTTCTTACAACCTATGCAGTGGGGGTACCCATTACATAGCTGCGGAAGCTGAGGCCTTGTGGCTCACAGCCCTGGCCTTGGTGGCAGTGCTGATGCTTCAGGTGGCCCAGGCCTTGGCTAGGGAGGGGCTTCTTGGCATTTGCTCCCTGGTCAACCTGAGTTGTGGCCCTGCATGTTGAGTCCTGTGGGCTGGGGCTGCCTGGTCTGTGTGGCCTCCACATTCCCACCTACCAGCAACCCCACGTCCTTGCGGCTGATGTCTCAGTATCAGGCCTCATACTCCCTCATCCACACACAGTGGCAGCCTCTTCCGGCCCCTGTGCCGAGGGCTCACCCTCCTGCTGGCCCTGCCTGGCCTCTGGCTTGAGCTGCACTGTCCCTGGCGTTGCCTGAGTGTTGGCCTGGCTATTGTCATTGCTCCTGACCTCTGCCACCTCCCCACATGCCATGATCTTTCCAGAACGTGAGCTGAGCACAGTGTCCACCTCAGCATTGTGCAGTGCCCCTTGATCTTTGGGATGGTGGCCAGATGCCCCAGGATGGCCCTTGCCTCTTGTGGTGGATCAGCCCCCACCACCTCTGCCCCACATGTGCCCCACCCCCAACACCCAGTGCCTCCTGCTCAGGACCCCACCCCATGAAGCTAATCCACCCTAATGCACTGAGGGGGTGCTCATGACTTGCTAGGTGAGACGCTGCCCAGCACAGCATAGATTTGCAAGCAGCCAGCTGCTGGGTGCAAACCAGCCACCTCTGAGGCTGAGCAGCCCTGGGTGACATAGCTACTGTGTGTGTGTGTGTGTGTGTGTGTGTGTGTGTGTGTGTGTGTCAGTGCATGCACGTGCCTCAGCCTCCTGAATAGCAGGGATTACAGGTGTGTGCCACCACGCCCAGGTACTTTTTTGTATTTTTAGTAGAGATGGGGTTTCACCACGTTGGCCAGGGTGGTCTTGAACACCTGACCTCAGGTGATTCAACCTCCTCAGCCTCCCGGAGTGCTGGGATTACATGTGTGAGCCACTGTGTCCAGCTGACACAGCTCCTTCTGACAGAGCAAGCCATGGGCCACAACCAGGACCGGCTCACCACCTTAAAGGAGAACCACGCCCGCACTCACGTGCTCAGCAGGGAGGTCCAGCACCTCAGGGAGGAGAAGTCCAAGCAGGTGAGGATGGCGCCTTCCCTGGCCTCAGAGCTGCTCATGGTTGGGGGTCCTGCCACGTCCTGCCTCCCCCAGCCCCATGGTGTGCCCGCCTTCCCTTCCTCGGGTCTCTGGAGCCTCCCTGAGTGGCTGGTACCTGGAAGGAAGGGCAGCCACCTGGTCTGACTCCCTGCAGGTGGGCTTCCTTGGGGAGCTGGCATCTGAGCCCCAAGGCCTTGCTCTGTAGGAACCACCCTCTTTGTGAAGGAGATGGGGCACTGTGGGTGGGACCCTTTGTTGCCTTGCTGGGCTCCTGCTCTCCTTCCCCTGAGAGGGTAGGGTGGACAGGCTGCAGATGCCCTGACAGGCTGTGGCTGTCTCTGTCCCCAGTTTTTAGACTTGATGGAGACCATTGATAAACAGCGGGAAGAGATGGTTAAGACCAGCAGGTGAGCGAGCCCAGGGCCGCAGGGGCAGGGCGAGGCTTCAGGGCTCAGGTCCTGGCTCAAGACTCAGCTGGGACCCAACGAGAGCCCACGAGTGAGGCCACCAGGAGGCAGCTGGAGGCTCAGTGCCCAGATGACCATAGGTGCTTAAGGAACAGCAGCAGCTACCAAGGTCAGAGGGGTACAGCAGTGCTCTGGGGTTGGGGTTACTCTGCACCCTCCTCTCTGCCCACAGGGCATCAGCAGCCCACATAGGGCAGCTTCAGGAAGCCCTGAATGAGAGGCACTCCATTATCAACGCTCTCAAGGCCAAGTAAGGATGGGGGGGGTGGGTTCAGGATACTTCAGAGATGTGCCACAGGAGGGTGATGTGAGCCTGTGTGCAAGTCCTGTGTACAAAGCAGAGGTGGGAAATGGGGTGAGACTGGGGCAATAACCTGGAAGCCTTCCTGGAGGAGGCAGGTGCTGGCTGGCATTGACTACGTTTTCAGTAACAGAACAGTGACGCCTTTGTAAGGCAGGTAAAGTCCAGCCAGGGTGGGGGTGTTGCCCTTCCTCTCTGCAGGCTGCAGATGACAGAGGCTGCCCTGGCTCTGTCAGAGCAGAAGGGCCAGGACCTGGGGGAGCTCCTGGCCACAGCAGAGCAGGAGCAGCTGAGCCTGTTGCAGAGGCAGGCCAAGGAGCGCAGGCTGGAGCAGCAGGTGGGTAGGCAGGGCTTGAGAGGGGTGGGCTAGGAGGTACGTGGCAGCCAAGGGACCCTCATTGCGCATACCCCACCCCCCTCCCAGGAAGCTGCGGAGCGGGAGTCTAAGTTCCTCAGAGACTTGTCTGCTGCCAATGAGAAGAACCTGCTTCTGCAAAACCAGGTAGCTGTGGGGTGGAGCCAGGGAGCCCAGGGTGGGCGCAGCAGGGCTGGGTCACAGCTTCCCTCCATGCTGCTGGCTTTCCAGGTAGATGAGTTGGAGCGGAAGGTCAAGTGTCAGCAGGAGCAGCTGTTCCAGACCAGGCAGGAGCTGACCAGCATGTCGGCCCAGCTGAAGATGCAGGCCATCCAGGCCGAGGGTGCGCAAGGGCAGGCCTGCTGTGGAGGGGCCTGGGGATGGGTACCCCAGGGACGGGGGCCTCCAGGGGATGCTCACAAATGCTCTGCCCCCCCTGGACTTCCAGAGCGCCTGGACATGGAGAAGAGAAGGTCCAGACAGAGCCTGGAGGACTCGGAAAGCCTGCGCATCAAGGAGGTGCCCTCTCACTTGGCCTCATCTGGCCTCTAACACACCTCAGTGTATGGCCTTGGTGTCATGCAGGTGTCCCCAGAGCACACACCTGGTGGGAGCTACATTTGTCACCTTGGGTCACTGGGTGGCTGTATTTTGCCAGCCTGAGCAGATGTCAGACCCAGAACCTCCTATAGGGGCTGGGAGGGGACCCCATCCATGCCTCAGCCATAGGACAGGTTGGTGTTGAAGAGATAGCCCCACCCATTCAGGGTACACATGCTAGGGCAGGTTCCTGCTAGGCCACCCAAGGCAGCGCTTTCTCAGAATGAACAAGGTTCCCAAGAGATGCCTGCTTTCCAGGGTGGGAAGTCCATGGGGGAAAGGTAGGGGGCCCTGCTCTTCATCCTGGCCCCACAGTCCCTGCACCTGAACAGGTGGAGCACATGAGCCGCCACCTGGAAGAGAGCGAGAGGGCCCTGCAGGAGCGGGTGCAGAGGCTGGAGGCCATGCGGCTGTCCTTGGAGGAGGTGGGTGCCCACCAGGTGGGGCTGAACAAGGAAAGCAGCCCCTGGTGTTCACAGCCTCAGGACCCCTGAGAGCCCTTCCTGGTCTCAGAGCCTCATAGGCCACACCTTGGAGACTCACCCACCAGTGTGCCCAAGAAGCTACAGGGACATGGGTGGCATTCAGGCTCCCTTGGCTGTAGGAACCCCGCCCAGTTAGCCAGGTGGCAGGGCAGCTGCGTGGCCCTCAGGAGGCTGGCAGAAAAGAGCCCCTCCAGCTAGGGTTGGCTGGATGGGCCAGAGAGAGAAGGGCTGTGGGCCAGGGACAGGAGAACAGGCTGGCAGGAGAATGCCGTCTATGTGCAGGAGCTGAGCCGGGTGAAAGCAGCAGCACTCAGTGAGCGTGGCCAGGCTGAGGAGGAGCTGATCAAGGCCAAGAGCCAGGCCCGCCTGGAGGAGGTGAGCCCACAGATGCCCGCCACCCTCTAGGGGAGCCAGGCTGCCTGGCTTCGCTTCCCACATGCAGGCTCCAGAGCTGGAGCTTTGAGTGGGGAGGTGGGAGTATAGTGTTGAGGTCAGGTCACACATCTGTACCCCTGCACACTGCTGGGAGGCTTCAGCTTTGCATCCAGGCCTTCGATGGTGGCGGGGTTTGGCCCATCCCTGTAGCCTGTGACTGCATGGAGGAACTGGAGGGGTGGCGTGACTGGAGAGGGAGGAGGGGAGCCTAGAGGGCATCTGCAGGAGGTACCTGCCAGGAGCGGGTTCAGAGCAAGACAAGTCGTAGTATCTTGAGCAGCCAGTCTGGTGGAGCGGTGGGGTCGTGTCCATGCAAACTTCTCAGGAGGTGAGCTCAGGCTGACACCTTGTGCTCCACGGCGGCTCCTGTGCCCACAGCAACAGCGCCTGGCTCACCTGGAGGACAAGCTGCGGCTGCTAGTGCAAGCGCGGGATGAGGCGCAGGGCGCCTGCCTGCAGCAGAAGCAGGCAGTGGTGGAGGCCCAGACCCGGGCCAGCCAGCTGGGCCTGCAACTGGAGGGCCTGCGGCGGCGCCTGGAAGAGCTGCAGGAGGTAGCTGGGGCTCCGGTGCGGGGTGTGGGGGTCGGGAGGCAAGGGTGCTAGCCCCCGACCCCTCGCCTCACTCCCCAGCCTTCGTTCCTGTCAGGACCTGAGCCACAAGGACCAGGAAAGGGTGGCCGAGGTGAGCAGGGTGCGTGTGGAGCTGCAGGAGCAGAACGGCCGGCTGCAGGCGGAGCTGGCGGCTCAGGAGGCGCTGAGGGAGAAGGTGGCGGCCCTGGAGCGCCAGCTGAAAGGTGAGCCAGACCCTCCCCCTCCCGGTGCCCACTGATGGGACGAGAGGCTAGTCAGAGAGCGGAGCTGGCCAGGTCTCCAGTGCCGGGGCCCTGCCAAGGTGCCTGCTCACAGCGCTCCTTGCCCTGCAGTGATGGCGAGCGACCACCGAGAGGCGCTGCTGGACAGGGAGAGCGAGAACGCGTCTCTCCGGGAGAAGCTGCGGCTCCGGGAGGCGGAGATCGCCCGCATCCGGGACGAGGAGGCCCAGAGGGCGAGCTTCCTGCAGAACGCCGTCCTGGCTTACGTGCAGGGATCCCCCGTGCGGAACCTGAGCCCCCCAAAGTGAGGCAGGCCGGGAGGACCCGGGCGCAGCAGGCGTGCATCAGGGAGCGCGCGAGATGGACCGGGGTTCGCGTCCTGCCCGCGCTGCCTCTTCCTTTGAGACCCGGGCCGTCGGGTCCAAGCGGGGGTTGCAGCGACTGGAGGAGGTGTCGCGGCCGCGGGGCGACCCCGTGGGAGGCGCCTAGGAAGGGCTCCCTCCCTGCCCCTTCGTCCCAGTCGACGCCGCCTGGGAGCGCACCGGGAAGGGGTCCCGCGGGTGCGTCTCCCCCTCGCCATTTGCGATGTCACCCTGAACGCTGCGACCGCCTGCACGCGGCGGGATTTGGAAATACAGCGTGTTTGCACTTTGTGATACGTTCTGGCCCCGCCTCTCCCTCCAAACGCGCCGACCCTCTGCCCCCAGCCCTGCTGGGGTGCAGCCGTTAGCCCTTTTCCCTGCTACCTGGAGGGACCGGAGAGCCGCGGGGGTGTTCGTCTGCGGGTTCGGGTGGCTGCGGAACCCGGAGTTCCCGGCTGGTTCCCAGAGGCAGGGGGGCAGGTCCCCGAGAGCGCTCAGCGCCGGCGGCCCGCGCCTCTGGGTCCAGGTCGCTGGGCTCTCTGCAGCCTGCGCGGCGCCCCGAGGAACCACAGGAGACCCCCGGGCCCGGGACACGCTGGAGAAGGGGGTGTCGCGGCTCCCGCCGCTCTGCCCGAGTTCGGGCGGCCCCGCCCCCCAGCCGCGCGGCCGGGCGCCCTCCGCCCGCTCGCCCCCGCCCCCCGCCGGCCGCGCTCGGCTGTCTCCGCGCCCGGCTTTCGGCGACGCTCGGCTGTCTCCGGCCGCTCGCTCGGCGCTCGGGTCCGCGGCCGCTGCGGCGCCGGGCATTTCTCCGCAGCTCGGCTCGCGGCCGCGCCCGCCGCCGCCCGGCCCGCGCCCATGCAGGCCATCAAGTGCGTGGTGGTCGGCGACGGGTGAGTGCGCGACCCGGAGGCCGCTCGGCTGGTCTGGGCGGGGGCGGCTCCGGGGCCCGGGGCGCAGCCTGGGCGGGCGGGGATGGCGCCCTGGTCCTCGAGAGGCGGCCCCGCCGTACCCCGCCAGAGCCGCTAGCATCCCAGGGCGGAGGAGGGCGGAGGAGGGCGGGGTCCGCGGGCCTCCAGCTCGGGCCCACCTGATGCTGTCCGGCTCCCGCCCGGGCTGGCTGCGAGCGAGGCGGGGCCGCCGCCCTGTCCTCCCAGTGGGTGGGGCCAGGCCTCTCACCTGGGCTGAACCCTCTGCCTGCCCCACCCTCCCGTGCCGCCACTCCTCGGAGTCGGGGCCTCCGCCGCTCTGCCTGGGGGTCCAATGTTGGGGCGCCCCCATTCACCACCCCAGCCCGGAGCCCGGCCTGTCCTGGTAGTCCTCCAGCCCTAGGTCGCCGTGCATCTGGTGGGCTGGGACCCCCATCTTTACCTCTGACTCCCCTAACTCGCCTCTGGCTCCGGGGGAGGGGGGCTGCCCTTGTTGGGCAGTGGGTCCCAGGCCGGGCCCGGGAGCCACGTGGCTTGCCCTGTCTGCAGCGCCGTGGGGAAGACATGCTTGTTGATCAGCTACACGACCAACGCCTTCCCCGGAGAGTACATCCCCACCGTGTGAGTGTGCGGGGCTTCCTGGGAGAGCACATGCCCACCTTGTGAGTGTGGGGGGCTTCCCTGGAGAGCACATGCCCACCTTGTGAATGTGGGGGGCTTCCCTGGAGAGCACATGCCCTCCGTGTGCGTAGGGCATGGGGGGGACATGGGCAGGGGCTCCCCTGGGCTTCCAGGTCTGGTTCAGGTGGCTGTGCCTCTGAGCTTCCTGGTTGGGGCTGAGGTGCCAGCTAGAATTCCAGTTCCGTGCAGAGTTGTGAACCCCAAGACACAGGCTGCAGGGCTGGGGGTTTCTGGGACCCTTCCCAAGCCCTGACCCTGCCCTCACTGCTCTGCAGTTTTGACAACTACTCTGCCAACGTGATGGTGGACGGGAAGCCGGTCAACCTGGGGCTGTGGGACACGGCGGGGCAGGAGGACTACGACCGGTTGCGGCCGCTCTCCTACCCCCAAACTGTAGGTGACAACAGGGCCTGCCCCAGGAGCTGGGTGGGTCCCTGAGGTCCAGACAGGGGAGGGAGCAGGGCCACAGGGACCCCCGTGACCACTCCACCATCCCTCACCTTCTTCCCAAGGACGTCTTTCTAATCTGCTTCTCCCTGGTGAGCCCGGCCTCCTTCGAGAACGTTCGAGCCAAGGTAGGGCAAGGCTAGGGGCCCTGGTGGGCAGAGGGCTTGCCCCGGAACCTGCCCTGACAGTTGTCCTTTACAGGCAATTGAGATATGGTTCTTCCTGGGGTAGGCACATGGGGTAGGGTCTGAAGAGGACTGTAGGGGCTGATGGGGTGGCATCAGCTCTCAGAACGGACTGAGAGCTGGGGATGGGCCTTGCCTGGGAGGTCCTGGGGGTCTCCAGCTTCCCTGGCTGTTTGTTTTTGGCATCTCCCCACCAAACCCACCAGACCCCTGCTCACCCCTTGAAGGACGAAGAGCCGAGTGTCGCTCTGGAACAGCGGGGAAAAGGGCCTGAGAGCCGTGGCCTGCTCAGGTGGGGCTAGGGTAGCAGACCCCAAGCGTAAGGGTCAGAGTGGTCTGTCCCTGCAGTGGTACCCAGAGGTGCGGCACCACTGCCCCCACACGCCCATCCTCCTGGTGGGCACCAAGCTGGACCTCCGTGATGACAAGGACACCATTGAGCGGCTGCGGGACAAGAAGCTGGCCCCCATTACATACCCACAGGGCCTGGCTATGGCCCGGGAGATCGGTGGGTAGGCGCTGGCGGCCTGCAGGGGAGGGACAGGGAGGCTCGAGGAGGGCCCCCCTGTACCTCACCCTCACTGTCTTCCCTCCTCACCACTGTCAGGCTCTGTGAAGTACCTGGAGTGCTCAGCCCTGACACAGCGGGGCCTGAAGACAGTGTTTGACGAGGCGATCCGGGCAGTGCTCTGCCCACCCCCAGTGAAAAAGCCAGGGAAGAAGTGCACTGTCTTCTAGAGCCTGAGAGCTGGCAGGGGAGCAGCCCTAGACGTGACCACTGTTGTGTTGAGACGTGTGGTGTCCCTGAGTTGGCGGTGGGGAGCAGTGGGGGTGGGCAGCGGGAAGCATGGGGATGAGGCTGGGCAGCAGGGTCCTGTCCTCTCTGCCGCCTCTTTCTGGGGTATGGCTCCAGCCTTCCCTGGCCCCCACCAGAGGCCGGGAGGGAGGATGGTCTTCCTCAGGGCTGAAGGGGCAGGTGCAAGGAGGGTGGGGGGGAGTTCTGTCCATTGCGCCCCTCGGCGGGGTGGCCCCTTCTTATTTTATACAATAAACATTCTCTACACCTCCTGCTTCTCACTACCTGCCCTTCTGCCCTAGGTGGGCTTTGCTCCTAACTGCCCCCCAGGGACCATGCAGAGCATGTCGGTCACACCCCAGCTACACCTCGGAGCCGATTCCTGATGGGCAGCACTAAGCTTCCTACCCTGGACCCAGGGGCAAGAGGGGCTTGCTGAGCTCCTCAGCCCCCAAAGGAGCCGACCCAGTTCAAAGCAGTAGCAAGTACATTGAGCCCTTGGGATGATCACATGCCTGTGTACGAGGCTCCCTTGTGCTGATTTTCGGCCGCATTTCCAGGAGAGGTGGCCCAGTTCTCAGGCAGCTCTGGTTATGCTGATCGGGACAGTCTGAAAAGAGGGTAAAGCGCTGGGCGCGGTGGCTCAAGCCTGTAATCCCAGCACTTTGGGAGGCCGAGGCGGGTGGATCACAAGGTCAAGAGATTGAGACCATCCTGGTCAACATGGTGAAACCTGGTCTCTACTAAAAATACAAAGAAATTAGCTGGGCATGGTGGCGTGTGCCTGTAGTCCCAGCTGCTCAGGAGACTGAGGCAGGAGAATTGCTTGAACCCAGGAGGCGGAGGTTGCGGTGAGCTGAGATGACACCATTGTACTCCAGCCTGGGTAACAAGAGTGAAAGAGTGAAACTCCATCTCAAAAAAAAAAAAAGAGGCTAAAGCAGGTCAGGCCTCTCAGAGCTCATGGGAGCTGAGGCAGTCTTCCCCCCCCCAATCCCTCAGCTCCTCTGGCTGGCACTGGGAGGAAGGGCATCCAGGTGGAGGCACAGGGTGGACAAAGGCACGGGGGTCGGTGTGTGGCATGGAGCATGAAGAGAGCAGCGACCCAGCATGGTCTGCTGATGCTGAAGCCAGAAACAGTGGGCCCCGAGCCAAGTTCCGGAGCTTGGAGTCACTCAGGATCGGAGGGTGCCATGGGGGCCAGAGTCAGCTTCACCTGGTGCTGGGTGGGACAGCTCCTTCTGGCTCAGTTAAGCTGATTGCTGAATTCTCAATAATTTTGCTAGCCAGTTGTTAAACAACCATCATTAACAATTATAGAAGTTTAAGCCGGGCGTGGTGGCTCACGCCTGTAATCCCAGTACTTTGGGAGGCCGAGGCGGGTGTATCACGAGGTCAAGAAATCGAGACCATCCTGGTCAACATGGTGAAACCCCATCTCTACTAAAAATACAAAAAATTAGCTGTGCATAGTGGCACGTGCCTGTAATCCCAGCTACTCGGGAGGCTGAGGCAGGAGAATTGCTTGAACCCAGGAGGCAGAGGTTGCGGTGAGCCAAGATCATGCCATTGCACTCCAGCCTGGGTAAACGAGCGAAACTCCGTCTTAAAAAAAAATACAATTATAGAAGTTTACAGTTTGTTTTATTAAAAGCAAAATCAACAAACATTACTTCCTAGTTATTTCTGCACATATTACTGTTTTCTCTGCCCCTGGGTTATATATATATCTGTGATACCTATGGACACAGACACCATGTAACAGGGTGCTGAGGGCATCTCTTCCACCTCCACATTCAATGACGTCTGACTGGTAGCTTGACATCAGCTGTGGTGAGCGTATTTCCACCATGGGAATTGGCAAACTCCTTACATTGGGGCTTGATTTATGATTAAGTGTCTAGACTTAAGATGATGGAGAAAATGCAGATTAGACTTCAGGATGCTGTATCTGTATTCATTACATTGTGAACAGCACCACAAATTGAGGAAATGCTCTTCTAGTATTCGAAAACCATTATCTGAGTCAACAAACTGGCTCAGGTCATTGACAAAATGGAGAAGCTTGAAGTATTCCTTGTTGCCCTTTTTTCTTACTCATTAGCCTGAAGGAAGAGTAGCCAACCGCACACTCACAGAGTGGGTGACAAACACTTATATGCACACACTGTCTCACCCCAGGGTTCTGGACAGGTCCAAAGGCCATCCGTGCTGAAATTCACTGCCTTCCTTAGGAGCCAGCCTTTCACCACCTCCTACCTCCCTCCCAGTCCCAGACTGCAAGCTGGCCAGGTGTGAACGCCTCAGGTGTGGGAGCCTGGCTCCCCTCTTGGTTAGAATGGGGCTCTCATGGGTCTCTGCCAGCATTCCCACACCCTGCTTTGAGCCTCAGCTACCTGCTGGAAGCCTAGGAATAGCACATAGCCTGGGCAGAGGAATCAGGTTTATTGGAGGGATTGGGGGTAGGACGGGCATGGCATGGGGCTGAGGTATGTGTAGAGGGGGGCTCAGGTGGCCCAAAAGCCCCCATCCACCGGCACAGTGGAGCCAGTGGTCATACCGCTTCGGTCACTCAGCAGAAAGAGGATGGCGTCCACCACATGCGCTACCTCTGTGGTCAGGGCAGGGGTCAGGGGCACAGATGAAGGAGGCTGCTGCTCATCTTTCCCTCCCATCCCTGCCCAGGGTGGGCATAGGGGCTGCTGGTGCCATGCTGGCTGGGCTCCCACCCAACTCACCAGCAAACTTGCCAAGTGGGATTCGGTCGAGCACAGTCTTGGCCTTGTGGGGGTCCATCCAATTGGCCTGGCCCATGGGCGTCATCACCACTGTGGGGTTTACTGCATTCACTCGGATCTACACCAGGACAGCTGGGGTCAGCAGGGTGAGTGGGGTGCCCTAGGTTGGGGGAGGCACCCCAGTGCTGCTCACCTTGTGGGGCCCGAGCTCTAGGGCCATCACCTTGGTCAGCATGTCCAGGGCACCCTTGGTGGAGCCTGTGAAGGGGAACCCAAGCTGGCTGGGGCTGGGGCTGGGGCTGAGGTTGGCGATGAGGGTGAGGCTGGGGTGGAACCGAGAGCACAGCTGGGGCACTCACAGTAGATGCTGTGGTTAGTTATTGCCCTCTGGGAGGCCTGGCTGGAGATATTCACGATGGCCCCTGGGACTCCCCGGGCTATTAAGCCCCTGGCCACGATCTGGAATTGCAGTGAGAGGGTGAGGCAGAGCTAGCGGCACTCACTAGAGTTCCAGTCCAGCCTGGAGGGCAGCTCACCTGAGACACCTGGATGACTGCTCTCAGGTTCACCTCAAAGGATCTAGAGCCCAAGGGACAGAGGCTGGTCAGAGGCTGGCACTGTCTCCAGGACTGCCCCTCTGTAGGGTTCCTCCACTCCCACAGGCTCACCTGTCAAAGGCCTCCTTGGTGACATCCAGGAAAGGCTGCAGCAGGGCCACAGCTGCGTTGTTCACCAACAGGTCCACAGGGCCCACGCTGCCTAGGGCCCGCTCCGTGGCCTCCCAGTCGCTCAGGTCCACACAGACAGGATCTATCCCAGGGCACTGTGTGTATCAGCAGGTAGTTACCAGAGACTCTGTGCCCAGCAAGCCGCACAGCCCTGGGGCTGGTGCCCTTTCAGCCCGACAAGGAAAAGAGTTAGGAGTTCCGGAGTGGTCAGGACTCTGGGCCAGCGGCCCGGCGCTGCCTCCAGCGGGGTCACTTCCTCCCTGAGCCCGAGCACCTCCTGCCCCGGGCCTACTCGGTAGCCTTTTCCGCCTCTTTCCGAGCCCGAGGGCCCTGGCGGCTCTGCCGGCCACCCGGCCGCCACGCAGACCACGAGCCCTGGGAGTGGGTGCGAAGGCGCCCAGGCCACGATGAGAAGTGCGGCGCCTGCGAGGGGAGGCCGAGCCGAGAACAGGGTGGCCGAGCCGCGCACAGGGGTTACCGACCCCGCCCGCTGGCGCCCCCTCCCCGCTCGCCGCCTCGCCACGCTGGGACACGGCGGCGCGTACCTCGCGGACAAGGCTGTCCAGGTCGGCCTGTGTCCTGCTCACAGCCACCACCCGCGCGCCCGCCGCATGCAGCGCCTGAACCGTGCCGCGCCCGATGCCTGCCGGAGTACACAGCTCAGTGAGGGCGCCCCCCGCTCGCCTTTGCCCGCCGCCCCTCTTTGCCCGCCGCCCACCTTTGCCCGCCCCGGTGACCAGCACTCGACGACCCGCGAGCCCCAGCTCCATGTCCACGCCGTCTCCGCCCTCCGTGCTGGGGTCGCGGGACTTGAAACTCTGGCCACGGAGGGCGGGGCGCGGCGGGGCCAATGGCAGGGCGGCCTCCAGAGGGGGCGGGGACATTCAAATAGCTGCTTCCCGCTGCAGTGATTCGTCTAAGGAGTGCGCGCGCCGAGGGGGGCAAGTTCTCCGCTGTCTCTGGGGCGGGTCTTTTGAACTGCCTGGTGTGACCCATCCACCGTGCTTGAAATCGGTTTCGTGGACTCTGGCTAGCTATTTTTCCTGCCAAGATTGTTACATAAAGCCGCTGGCAGTTAATATCGGAAAGAACGTGTGGCTAAATTCTGGAAGCACACGTGAAATGAAGAACTCAGGGCCAACATTTCTTCTTTTGTTTCTTGAAACTTTGTCATGTCTTAAAACGTGTCACCTGTGCCCATCATCCCCCAGGCTTGGGAGCAGGACACGGAGGCTCACTGGTAATGCAAAGGGAAAGAATTTGGACAACCCAGCGTGTCTGGAGAAGACACCAATGTCAGCAGATGTCCGCTTTCATCTGAAAGGGACTTGAACCACAGGTCACCTTGGACAGCCAGCGTGCGGCCACGGACGCCTTTTAGAAGTTGAATATGGGCCGGGCACGGTGGCTCACGCCTGTAATTCCAGCATTTTGGGAGGCCGAGGCGGGTGGATCATGAGGTCAAGAGATCAAGACCATCCTGGCCAACATGGTGAAACCTCCTCTCACCTAAAAATACAAAAATTAGCTGGGCATGGTGGCCCATGCCTGTAGTCCCAGCTGCCTAGGAGGCTGAGGCAGGAGAATTGCTTGAACCCTGGAGGGGTGGTTGCAGTGAGCCGAGATTGTGCCACTGCACTCCAGCCTGGTGCCTGGAGACGGAACAAGACTATGTCTCAAAAAACAAACAAAAAACAACAAAAAAAAAGAAGTTAAATAGGATAGGAAGATATATGATTGGGGTCATAGAAGTACACGGTGGCCTAGCAAAGACCAGCATTGCTTCCCAAGGCTTTGGGATCAGTTACAGATGTGTGTGTACCCACTCATATGGGGCCTCCATGTAAAACCTACTTTGTTTCGTGTTTCATCATAGGAAAGTCCAGAACCACTGTCCTGAGGACCTTCTGTGGCCAGGAGCATGAAATTGGTGACTGTAGCTGTGGATCCAAGCCCTAGACTTTGGATCATCTAGAGCTTGGGGCCCAGAGGCATGGACAGGCTGGAGTCAAGGGTGGCTGGGTACAGCAGGAGGCAAGGTCCTGGTTTGTTCTGGGGGACAGCCAAGTACATTGTCCCTATCAGACCTGGCCCTGCAGTCAGTCCACCCCTGGCCACCCTGTCAACTCTGCTTTCTGCCCCTACCCTTGGAGCCCACTCTTTGCTTGCCAGCAGCCAAGGGAGGAACAGCCCTCAACCTGTCCTTCCCAGATGGCCCATCTGCTTAGACCCCCTCCAACGGCCTGCATGTGTCCCCAGGAGAGTGGACCAGGCCTCACTGGTCCTGTGATCTGTGGTTCAAGCCTTGCTCCCTGCGGGTCCTGCTGGCTGGTCAGAAGCACCCTCAGCATCTCCCACCCTCACCCTGTGCCCTGTGCCCTGTGCCCTCCCACCCGCTGCTTGGCGGGCCGGATCCCGACCCTAGTCCTCTGTCCCCTCGCCCATGGTTGGACTTTATGCCCCGTCCACCTCAGGCCTATAGCTCCCCAGATGTAGGGCTGTACAGCCCCACAGGGTCGTGGGGTGTCCCTTGCTGTGCTGAAGTGCAGGATCCGAGAAGTAAAGAGACAGGACACTGAAGAACTGGTGAAGAGCATCTGGACTCGGGGGGCCACACAACCTGTGAGCGGAGATCGGTGAGAGCCCCAAATGCCCAAAAGCATCTGTATTTATTAGGTACAATCAGGGGGCAGGATTGTGAGTGAGGTCATCCTCTATAGGCTTAGTGATAGGGCATACACAATCATGTGAGTCACAAGCAGGGGGGCCACCCCATTATGTCACCTGGGCAGAGAGGTGGGCTGTGTGCAGTAGGAGGCCATGCCATGTGCAGTAATAGAGGGTCATGTACAGAAAAGGGGTCCACCCCCATTAGGTCCTCAAGGCAAGGAGGTGGTGGGCTGTGTGCAACAGGTGTCATGCACAACACTTCTTATTTGGGAGCTGGAGACTTCAAAGAATTTCTAACAGAAGGATACTGTAAGCCAATGCAGTGGGAGCTGAAGACTTGTGTTCTTCTCTTAAGATATTTGTGGGTGCTGGGTGTGGTAGCTTACACCTGTAATCAAGCACTTTGGAGGCCAAGGTGGGCTGATCACCTGAGGTCGGGAGTTCAAGACCAGCCTGACCAACATGCTGAAATTATATATATATATATAAAGATATTTATGGGAGGATTCTTTGCACTAGCACAGAAGCGAGAAAAGACTGACAGGGTGTACAGCCACCGTGACTGGTCACACCAGAGGGGTTCTTCTACCTCGGTTATTTCCAGGATCTCAAGCCTGAGGCCTACTTTCCACAGGAACTGGATGCAAGGAACTACAACTCCTTTATCAGGAGGGGAGGCTCTTGCTCCAAGCCTGCCATACAGCATATGCCCTTTCAGGCAGGGACGCCACTGCCTGGGTCTTTGGTTCTTGTCCTGGTCTGGCTGTTTTCCCATGTACTGCTGCTCTGTGACTGCTCTAGGCATTCTTCCTACTACAGACTGCTATATGGTTATATGGAAGGATTCTATAAATCAGCACTAAATGTGTCAGTACAGCTCCGGCTGCAATACCTATAGGAATATAAAGAAAGATTATATGGGACTAAGTGTGAGTATATATATATAAGCTAGATAGAGTAAGCAGTGAGTTATGTTTCAGACACTAACTGTACCTGGGGTCTATACAGTTCTCCTTCCTTGGTGCCCCTGGGGGGTGTTACCCACACCCAGGTGGCATGGCAAAAGCAGGGCCTGGCCTAGGCAAGCACAGCTGAAAACCCCAGGGCCTGCAGGACCCTCTGGCCAGGCCTGGACTGCAGGGCTGTTGAGCCCGGATTCAGTCCAGGGGCTCTCTTTGAGCGGAACTGGGAGCTCAGCCCTTGGCTTGGGCAGCCTCTTACCGGTGGCCTTGGGTGAGAGGTGCACCCAGAGGTGGAGGTGGATTCTCTGGGGATTTGCTGCAATAGGACCCCACCTCTGTTACTCCAGCGGAACTCTCCGCCCTACCTTCCATTCGGAGGGCTTTGGGTCCAGGGCGTGCCCCTCATCTTTCCGGACAGGCGGAGGTCACAGCCAGGGAGCTGGGCTGGAGGACGGGGCCAGAATCTCCGGGGAGAGGTGTGCAGGATGCCTTCTGTCCACTGCCCATGGCCGGCTGAGTGTGGAGAGCAGGGCCATGGACAGCAGGACTCTCCTTACAGAAGAGTCACTGTCCTTTGGTCCTCAGGTGGAGTCGCGGGTGGAGTGGGCTGGCTTCAGGGTCTGCGCGCTCAATCGCCTCACGTGGGGTGAAAGGTGTGCCCACGGTCCCCGTTTCTCTTGTCCCCAGCCTCGCAGCGGCCAGCCCAGAATCCTGGTCTGCGCTGGTCCGGGGAGAAGGGCTTCCATTTATTAAAGCCCATCCACGCCAGCTCAGGGGTATACAGTGGTTGGGGGAGGCAGAGGCTGCGTCTCACCGTAGCCCGGATGAGGACGCGGAGGAGCGCGGTGGGGCGGTGGGTCTGACACCGGCCTGGGCGAGTCGGGCAGGTGTAGAGGCGGGGCAGGTGCTGGAGCGGGCGGGGCCTGGGAGGGGCGTGGCGGGAGCAGGCCTCGGGGCGGGGTAGAGCCAGAGATGATTAGGGGCGTGGCGGGAGCGCTGCGAGAGAGTACTGAGCGGGGTGGTGGGAGGAGGGCCTGGCACTGGCCGGGTGTGGGGCCGAGGGCCGGACAGGAGCGTGATCGAGGTGCATCCGGAGCCTGGGCGCAGGCGGGGCGTGTTAGTGGGCGTGGCGGGTCTGAGAGAGGGGTAGCGAGTGTGGCTTATGGGCATGCGCAGGGCGTGGCGTGGGGCGAGTCAGGAGTAGGTGGGGCCGGGGTGGGACCTGGGATGATCAAAGGTGAAGTAAGGGCAGGGCGGGGCCTGAGCGGGGGCGGAGCCATTTGGAGCCTGTGAATGAGCGTGGTTGGGAAAGGCGGGGTCAGGAGAGGCGGGGCGGGGCCGGGGCTGAGGCGGGAGCCAAAGCAGTAGCGGGGTCGGGGCGGGGTCGTGAACGCGGCGGGGGCGGGACCGGGACTTGGGCGTGGCGGCCTTAGCGTGGGGCGGGGCCGCGGCAGGATTCGAGGCTCTAGATGACTGGGTAGCCGGCGTACAGGAGGGTGTCCGAGTCGCTGGGGAGGCGCTGCGGTCCCTGAGCAAGAAAAAGATGCTGGGGACCACCTCCTCCACCTCTGCGGGGGCGGTGGCCTGTCAGGGTAGCTGGGCTGAGCTCCCCAGGTCGCCCCGCTGACCCGCTGACCCCCTGACCTGCAGTCTTCCTCAGTGGGTGGCGGTCCCTCACCTTCCAGCAGAGCTGGGATCGGACTAGACTTTCTGGCCGCTGGCTGTCAGCACCACCATGGAGCTTACAGAGTTCACCCTGATCTGGGGCCGGGGCCAGAGGTGGTGGCCTCAGCGTCCCCGGTCCACGCAGTTCCTGGATGCCCCCAGGCCTGAGCTTACTTCCTGTGTTGGAGTAATTACCGGTCCCTCTGGCTAGAGCCTTGCGTGGTCCCCGTCCTTCCCATTCTCAACACCATCCCCCAGCCCTGCCCCGTAGCACCCGCTTTGTACCCCCAAGGCCTGGTCCCCAGCCCCGCCCCCACTACCACCTTCTGTGGCCCCAGCTTCATGGCCATGGCCTTTGTCAGCATGGGCACTGCACCCTCGGTGGAGTCTGTTGGTGGAGTCCCTTTAGGGACTGAGCCCTCCCAGGTAGGCCCATCTGCAGGGCGGTGGGGGGGGCTGCTTCGTTGAATCCGTGTGCAGGTTGGGCAGAGGGACTCACCGTAGGTCACGGGATTGGGAAGGCAACATGGGCCAGATGCTGATGATGGAGCTGGGTGCTCCGTGACCCATCAGGCCCCAGGCTGTGATCTGAAAGCAGAGTGGGCGCAGCTGACTGCACCTCAGCCCACCCCCACCCAGCCTGCTCAGCGACGAGCCTCCCCCTTCCACTGGTTCACCAGGGACACCTGGGGTGCACGACACAGATTCATACTG